ACTGCACTCCAGTCTGGGCGACTGAGTGAGACTCCAACTCAAAAAAAAAAAAAGAAAAAACTGTCTTATTCTGCTCAGGTTGAGAAATTAGGGCATGTGAGTATGTGGCTGGTGCTCATCATGTCACCACAGAGAGAACATGTCTGTAAATGGAAACAAACAAAGCCTAGAGATGGAAAGACAAGGCCCTCACTTTGCTGCTTGAAGCCCTGGATCCAGCTATGCCTGAATCCACCCTGTTTCAACCCTCATTCATGTAAGTTAATAAACTTTCTTTCTGGTCTAATGCCATCAGATTGCAAGCTCTGTGAAGGCAATGACATGGTCCCCCTTGTCTGCCACCCTATCTCCAGTACCCAACACTGGGCCTGACACAGGGAGGCACTCAGAATACTCAGTCAAATGGAAGAATGTCTCCCTACAGGGCTCAGCCCAGAATTGCGCACAGAGGACAACAAGCCTAGGCCATTGACAGATCGGGCATTAGTTCATGCTTCTTTCTTTCCTTTTTTTTTTTTTTTTTTGAGTCAGGTCTCATTTGGTTGCCCAGGCTGGAATGCAGTAGCACGATTAGGACTCACTGCAGCCTTGACCTCCTGGGCTCAGATGATCCTTCTGTTTTAGCTTCCCAAGCAATTAGGACTACAGGCATGCATCACCCCACCTGGTTAATTGTTTGATTTTTTTTTTTTTTGAGTTGGAGCCTGCTGGGCTCCGGCAATCCGTCCGCATCAGCCTTCCAAGTAGCCGGAATTACAGGCATGCGCTACCACGTCCGGCTGATTTTTTGATTTATTGTATAGATGAGGTCTCGCTGCCCAGGCGGGTCTCGAACCCGTGGGCTCAGGCAATCCACTCACCTCAGCCTCCCAAAGGCGTGGGATTACAGGCTGAGCCACTGAGCCCGGCTGATTTTTTTTTTTTTTTTTGTAGAGACGAGGTCTTGGTATGTTGCCCAGGTTGGTCTCGAACTCCTGAACTCAAACAATCCTCCTGCGTTGGCCTCCCAAAGTGCTGGGATTATAGGTGTGAGCCACTACACCCAGACTCATGCTTCTGTAAAACAGTGTTTATAACACAGGGAAGGTCTCTAGACTACACCCAGGAAAATTTGTGGATATTCTGATTCCCAGGCCCTGCCCTCTGAACTAGCCTCTCAGGAAAGTCTCCTGCACACTAACATCTAAGTGCCACTGTATATCTTTCTTTTTTTTTTTTTGAGTTGGAGTCTCACTCTGTCGCCCAGACTGGAGTACAGTAGCATGCTCCAGCCACCGCAGCCTTGACCTGTTGGGCTCCGGCTATCCTTCCGCCTCAGCCTTCCAAGTAGCTGGAAGTACAGACACACGCTACCACACCCGGCTTATTTTTGATTTATTGTAGAGATGAGGTCTCGCCAAGTTGCCCGGGCGGGTCTCAAACCGCAGGTTCAGGCAATCCACTCACCTCAGCCTCCCAACGTGCTGGGATTACAGGCTGAGCCACCGAGCCCGGCTTCCACTGCATATCTTTCTAGACTTACCTCTCCCTCTCACCCACCTCCTTGACTTTGCTCATGCTGGGTCTTCTCTTACCCTCTTTTCTTTTCCTGACTAAACTCGATTTTCATCCTTTCAGGCTTCCAGAATCCTCCTTCTGTGGGGCCCCAAGTCTTGTCTCAGGAGCCTTGGGCAGTTTGGG